TACGTGTTCCGCATTACCGTCCATGTCAAATTCGATGTTTTTTTCGCCTAGCCCATTTGCCCTCAGGACAACCTTTTCCTGCATCGAGGGCACCACATCAGAATCACACCCAGCCAGGCAAAGAACAATGCGTGACATAGATTTTCACTTTTCTTCAAAAAAATACATAAACAACAACAGTAAATTGGGTCATCCAACGTCAGTAATTAAGTTTCTGCATATTAAAATCTTTAAATCATTTCATTATAACGCACACTTGTTACAAGTACACATGCACTCACTCTTTTTGGGTGGCTGGGTAGATGGAGTATACTGTAGAAATAAAATACAAGCAAGAACTTTCTGAATTCATGAAACACTTCAATATTTAAAGTAGCTCATTCTCAACAAGAAGAAAGGCCCACTACCCATGTTTTCCTGAGCAATGAATCTGCCTCATGACTTATTCTTTCTACTGTTCGTAACATTATACGACAAAGTACAAGTGTAACATCTTTTTATACACCGCCAAAAATGGTTTCAGTATTCTTTAAGAAGTTGTGCTAAATGACGGTAATGCTTTCAAATGGCTGGTAAGCAGCGCTCCTGGTAAGTTTCAATTACGATACGAAAGAACCGTGAAAAGAAAGATACCAATGTGTCAATGGAAACCAATATTGTAGCGTGTTCTACTGATCAGGGTTCGACGCTGGCATAGAATCACACACAGCCGCAACTCGCTGTTTTGGTCACGAAATCTGTTTTAATGCTGTCGTCCACAACAATGCGTTTTCAGCTCAGCTCTAAACATGGTGCCCATCGGCAGGGACTGTGCAGGCGCGAGGCGGGAAAACCGCGGGCCATTCGCAACCAGTGCGGGCAGCCAGCCAACTCCATGCGGGTCCGAGCTGGCACCCCCACCGGCTGGACCCGCCGGCGCTACAATATCTAGTGAAAGGATGCACAGCGCAACTTTTCTTCGACAGGCTTCATCCAACGTGCAAGTCCGGAGTACATGTAATTCTGATCAACCGTTCGCGTTTGCACGATATGGGGCATGTCAGCGGACAGGGTTGAGGGAAAAAGTTATTTTGTAACCTATAAATTTTAACCGTGTAAATAGAATTAGTTATTCAAAATCATTTGTCTCACCCCAAAAAATCAGGCATGCTCTCGTAGGACGGATAGTCTGAAAAGAAACAACAAAACGAAACAAAACTCAAAGTGTTGCAAACAAAATTGACCAACAGCACTACAAAGTGAAAAAGTAGTCAGCGGGAATTGCTTGGCAACTTTGACAGCAGTACTGTCTGTAAGATGTAATAAGATTATTGACAAAAAACAAAAAACTTCAGCTACATCAACCAATTTTAAAATGTAATGAATTTCAATACAAGAATTCTCCTGGATTACTTTGTCTTTGGTAGCAAGTTAGGTTTTCAGCAACACGTGTTTTTCCACCCTGTGTTGTTCTTTTACTGTAATGGCATTTAGTATGGCTCTTTCCGCGAATAACTGTATGCCTTTATTCACATAACCTGTATAGGTATTAATCAGCATCACTTTATGGAGTTAGTAAGAATAACCAGTTTTGGAGGCACGAGGAAAACGGAACACCCAGAGAAAACCTGCAAGAGCGGGTATGGGTTGGAGACAAAATGCAATTAAAAACCTGTCTTAACTGGGAATGGAACCTGGGCTTCACTAGTATACAATTTACAATGCAATAAAATCTGTGCCACCAGACAATGTAAGATCAAAATAGCCCACCTGCACCATGGCCACATGGTGGCTGCAGCACTGGTAAAACAATTCCAATTCCTCATAGCGTGTCGCATTTTCACGATGAAAATTAAGTGTCATACATAGCTACAAATCCTTCAAAACAATTATTTGATTGTACCTAGACCAAAATTTAACCAGGCCCAACCACGAAGCCACCTGGAGGGGAATTTCGACATGCCAAAACTGAGCAGAGAAAACACAAGGATAAAGGAGTGAAGGAACACGCGATCACGCCAGAGTACAGCATGAATGACTAAATTATTTACAAAATTAGCATCTCTGCTACATGTCCATTATGCGTAGCTGATGAGCTTGTCGGGTTTGGTGTATAATTGGTTGATTTGGGCTCAATGAATTACTGGAAAGACCGTAACAAAGAAAAGAAAAATCCAGAAGGCACCCTACGTTATTTTTTTTTTTAAACTTGTACGGGCCCACAAACAAAGACGCACTGGACAAGTATTTATATAGAAAACAAAATACAATGGATTTAATGCAAGTGGAAATACTTGTCCCAAATCACCGCCGAATCAAAATATCTGGTTACTAATTTTTGGTCACAATATGAACACAGTGTGCATTGTATCTCACAACCAGCACAAAGTTAACATTAACAGTGATCCAGAATACAAGGCATGTGAAGGGGGCACAAACGTGTAACACTACAATTTCAACTTATAAAGAAAATCCTGGACGGTAAAAGGAATGGTTTCTCAATCAGACTATAACAATTTCATTTTTTACGGGATCAAGGTAGACTACGCCACATAATAATCACACGATGGCAAACGCCGAGATATGAAGTTTGAACACACAAAAAAAAAACTAAATGAAAGTTAACACAAAGGAATTAATGTCAAGATCAAAACAAAAGGAACTTTTTCGCTGTGGTTCTCCCGAGAATGTTCGTTAATCGAATCCGATCCGGCGAGTGAGCAGTCAGCGAGAAAAGTGACAAAACGCGATGTATTGAAGTTCCGACGTTTCCGCGACAGACAAGCAAGGTGGTGACCAGGAACAGCGTCACTCAGCAGGAATCAGGGTTATCATGGGGGGTACATCCAGCATACGGTGGGGTCCAGCACTATACGAAAACAGCTACATGAAAACGACGATGACTCGGGCCAGCAAAACAACAAAACAGGAACGAGGAGCGGCGAAACTTGACACTCAGCAACTGCTCCAGCCACCCCGGAAATGCATACGTGGCACCGTGCTGGTCACAGGGGGTGAAACAATGGTCAACGGTCCATGGTCGAAAAATCCTCTCTAAATTTTCGGACGTGCAAGAAAAAGTTCACCTCCAAAAAGAACTCCGGTGGCTTGACGTGTAAGGCAGAAGACGTAGAAAAGCAAACAGTCTCCCAGAATGTAAAAAAAATAAGCGAAATTTGTGGGTAAAAATCGGCACAATGCACAAGCAG